CTTATTATATATCTATATATACGATAATTATATTAATTCTTATAAATTTCATATTAAAATAAAAATTTATATTTTATTTATATAAACATTCAAATATTAATATGATATTAAAAATAATTTAATATTAACTTTATTTGATAGCAAATACAATTTTTATATTAAATAAATTTTATTATAATTTATACAGTTAAAATATGCATGCATGAAATAAAAATCAAAATTGTAAAGATATCAGACCACGTAGAAAAATTAATAAAACATTTTATTTGGGCTGATGAACAGTGAACAGAGGTAAAGAGAGGTCCCCTCTCATTAAGTAAAATAAGGACCGATAACCAAAGATCAAGGCGGAGGATTGCAATACACATAGGCCGAAGAGCGCGTGAATTAAGGATGAGTGAGTGCATTGATTTCCGCGCAAATTAACAATTAAAAAGATTAAGCAGTGAGAAGTGAGTAACTCGAATCTCATGTATAGCGATTTTATCATCAATAATAAAACTTCTTTCAAAAAAAACAAGCAGAAACGGGGGCCGACCTACAAAATTCTATTTGTTAAGGAGAAAATAAGAACTATTGATTTTTCTTTAATTGTCTTGACACAAGAATATAGGCTTTATTATTAATAATTCTTCTTTACTTTTTAGTCCTTTTTTTTTTTCTTACTACAAAGTAGGGCCAATTCTAACTAAATCTTGTTTCTCAAAGTGTACAAGAAATAGGTACATCATGAATGAGCCAAAGATACTTTCAGAGTCAGGCACTGCAACGAACAGCCAAGGAGTGAGGCCAGAGTTATGGCGTGATTAGCCGCGCGCGCGTGAGTGTGCGCGCGAAACAAAGAAAGTACGAGCGGCTCACTTAAATAAAATTATTGAGTGGAGAACCAAGAAGATACCCAATATATGAAAAGAGTACGATAAACAACCTAAAAACAGTCCTATACAGTTTTGCCCCAGGGTGGCAGATTGAGGGGTCAAGGGGACACCTTATAGCTGACAACGTCTTAAAAATTAGGAGGCAGCTAAACGAGCGAAGGAAAAAAACTGAAGTTGGGTAGCGGGCTGGAGAGTGGAGAAGCCAGGGAAAACCCAAGGAAGGGCCAAAACCAGCGCGGAAGTGAGAGAAACGCGTAAACAGAATGCAAAAATTCATAGGATGGACATCGCCCCACAGTCAACATAATGTGGTGCCGGTGGCTCAGAAAGATTTTTGCATGGGGACAGGTGAGGGCATGGCTTCGGAGAGTCAGAGTGCGGGGGCATCAAATGCGTGGAGGAGGCCCGAGTCGAACAGCAGGAAAGAGGCCAGAAAGGAGAAATGGTTCTCACCCCAGTATGTATAGAAACACCCAGAAGGATGCCACTACTACTGAATTCGTCAATATGTCTATTATATGAAACAGAGGCACGCCCAGTGGCGGGCGCAACAGGTGGGGGAGGTGAGTGAGTGAGGAACGCATACAGCGGAGTCCAGGAAGGCCAAAAAGCGGTCAGTATACTCCATCATAATAATTTTTACTTAATTTCGCCACAAATATTTCTCTGCACGTTACGAGATAACTTGGGCCTATTAAATGGCAGCAAAATGCATAAGGAAAGAGTTTGTAACACGTTTCTTAACTGAGATGAGCGATAAACGCCAATAAGTTTATTAATGATATGTGAATAACTATAGAGGTCTCAAATGCCGGGGACGAGAGAAGAGCGAAAAGTCAGATCCAATAAGGACAGGGCGGACGAAAAGGTTAATATATTTTTTCTGTCGCAAATTAATCGCGATAAAATTCAATATATTTCTTCTGAATCGCATATGCCAACATATATGATTCTTAACGGAGTATCAGATGATATCAGCAGTCACATACATGGAGTGGGTACCGTCGGAGTGGAGTGAAGATTGTGAGAAAGTTATAGCCAGAGGGCAGGTCTATCTATTTCGGAAACTGGTTGCGTAAGATGTAATTACATCTTTATATCAACACATCAGAATACGATACGATGGGTGATAGAGGTTGAAAGCCAAGGTTCGAACCTAAATATTTTATTGCCTGCCTGACTATTTAACAAAAAAATCTTAGGGCCTTCTAAAGATGGAATAATATGCCGGATAGCAACTACTTTTACAATTAGAAGCAGGCGGTTCTTTAAAAGGACAGTTCGTGGGAGGTTTCTCAACATATGACAGAGGGTAGATTCAGTGGATTCAAACCCACTACAAAAGAGTTATGCAGATGTATCCGCTAAACAGGCTTTAGCGAAAAAAGATTGTAAATACAATGACACGTCAATGTATAAGTTAATAATAATATGGAGTAACATTGCCCTATACTTATAATTCCATTGAGGAGGACCTAAATATGGATTCACATGCGAGAGAGAGAGAAAGGATAATTTTTCCCCCAGGCGAAGAGGTGTGTGTTGGATTAGGGCCGGTGAAAAATGGAGCCACGAACTCTACAGAAAGTGTTGTGAGCGGACAGCCGGGGCCGAGCGCCAATACCCGCGGTGCCCACGAAGCAGAGGGAAAAAAAAAAGGGAACCCCACGTACGACGGTTGGGCCAGGGTATTGATTAAGACGCGAACAGTGTTGTTGTTCTCGAGTTCGCCGGGCAAGATAGAGTACCAGCAAAATCAGTGGCACGTGACGCATTTTTAATTGATTTTTCCTCCGCTGTGACAGCATCGGCTAGTCCAGCAAATAAAATTTTCTCATTATGCGGCCCTTTATAAGTGTGAAAGTTCTTCTTAATAAATAAAAGTAAAGTATTTTTATTGAACTACATATGGTAGAAAGAATCGATATGTTATTATGCGAAGTAATGTTAATGAAATTATCAGTGGGTTGAAACCGACTTAGGGCATTGTCCTAAGCGGTGGACCCCTCCTTCCAAAGGCAGCATTATTCCTACTGAGTAATAAGCGATATGTGATATAGATTGGGTACCATTCACCTCTGAAAACTATGGCACTGATTCCCCCGCTCCGGCGCCAACGTGAGGCTTACAAAGGAGCAGTAATAACGGGCCTTCGTGTATGAGGTCACTATATATGAAGTAATGAGCGAATTGTGCATGCCCACATTGATTAAGTGAACATCCTTCCTCACGCTCCAAACACCAATTGCAAAAGAAAATACTTTAATAAACTAATTTCATGTTTATTAGTGAGAAGATTCTGTTGTTGAATAGTTAGATTGGATGCTGGTGAATTCCGATGATGTGGCCCAATACAAATAAAATAGTTGAATAGAGAGAAGATTATGCGCCGTCAGTCCTCATAATTTGTTTTGCCTCGAGCCACAGCGTGAAGTGGTAAGTGAGACCACGGCCTTTCCTTAGCTCAAACTGTCTTCTTTCTGCATTATTCCTTCTTTATGGATTTCAGATGAAAAAATTTTGATGCTTTTTGTTCCGTTTCAATTCGCGTTGGTTGGATTTTTTTCCATCTCACCGTCCTAATTTGGACTCCATTCGCAAGTTCTTTTTTAACTTTAAGCTTAATATAGAGTTCTCTGTGACTTTACTCGATACATGATCACATGTTTTGGTAAAGTTGAAGAATGATATGGATTATAACAGAGTTTTTTTCATATATCCTATTTTGTTAATAATTGTTCCATGAAATAAATCAAATGGTCCCCTTCTCTTAACATTGGTGTTGAGTGCCCTATAATTCCCATATTTATTTCCTTTCATAACCTAAGTCCTCATTTCTTATATCCTAGGATCCTTTACACTTTGGGTCCTATGTTTGGTCGCTCCTTAAAAATAGACAGTGCCACTTATGTGGGCTCACATCCATCACTTGTGCATGTTAGTTGAGCTTGACATGTAGTCCCCTCAGTGGAGCTTATGATTCTTTAAGGATATGTATTTTTCCCTTTAATTTAACACGTAGTCCCCTCAGTGATTTTTACCTAAAAACAAACCACTGCAAATTATTGCACTGCCTTTAGAATATCACTTTCATAATCTTCATTTATATATGTTATAGTATTTCATATAAATTATGATACTTATATCATGACTACTTTTTAAAAGAAATCATCAAGTATACTAATAATGTCTATACTTTAGTTGCACTCACT